TGGCATTAGAAGTTTGGCTAAAAGGACTTAATTTTTCTGTGGTTTAGCTTTTTGTTGGTAAATAAATCTTGGGGCTGTTTACCATGCAAAAAAGGCTGCCTTTTTGTCTCAAACATGGAGATTCCCCTAATTATGCTAAGACTTAAAGAATTTATATTCATTGTTTGAATATAAATTTTGTGATCCTAATACTACTTGAGACATTTCCACTGGGTGTCTATTTCAAAGAGTAGTGTTAGTGTTACTTAATCAAACCATACTGTTTTTCCTGTTTATAATGATAGTTTTTTGATAATTTTACACTGTTTTAACATACCATTTAGACATAAGATTTAAGAAAATTTTACTTAAACACTAACTTTTGAAAGAACTTGACTTTCATTTTTGAAAAGCATTACTTTAAGATTTACTGTGAAATATTTTAAGGGATTAAAAATATAAGAATAGAATGTAGTTTTTATGTAAAATCTTGAATATTTTCTGAGTGAACTATCAAAAGTGGCAAATTAGACTAGGAAATGACCTTTGAAGGATACTTAATGCCTCTAGTTTTAAGTTTTTTTAGAAAGTAGAAATATTTCATCAATCTTAACTACCATGTTAGTGTAACTAGGTGATTACCCTCCAAGTTTTTCAAGTACCAAAGTTCAAGTCAGCTTTTCAAAATTTAGATACATATATACGAGTATGTTGTTTGTGTCATTTTTGTACACATTTGATTTTATTCAGCAATCAAGGTTTTCTTTATGCAATAAAGTTTTGTGTGCTAGGTAAAAACATGAAAGATACGATTTAATTTTTGAAAATATATTCCCTAGAACACCCTAAATATGAATTTTGCTCCCTAAAAATGAATTTTGGGGTCAGGTAAGTTTGCTGAATATAGCATGTGTTTGGGAGAATAACAGTGTCATTTAACACATTAAAGGCTGTGGGAAAACCTGTTATAAAGAGACTATTTAAAAACTTAATCCAGTATTTCCCAAATTTATTTGAACATGGAATCAGTATTTCAGAAACAACTCTTGAGGAAATAAATAGTATTCCAGGGAGCAGCGCATACTGGGAAATATTACTTCATAATATAGTATTAAAAAAACTATATGGTAAGATAAAGTAGAACTAAATTTCACTTTGAAATTGAGATGTTATATGATATATAAAGTCACCTTTTGTGCTGTTATAATCTTAACAAAGCCTTAATATAAGTTCTGAAGCTTTTGAATGTTTTTGTGTGTGATTTTAGAGCATTTCTCTTAATCATTCTTAACTCTTTTCTCCTCTTCAGTAGGTTGGTTTTGTGATACTTCAGTATATTACTTATTTATTGTGTAACAAATGACCCCAACATTTAGCACCCTAAAATGAAAGCATTTATTATTTCTGGTTCTCAGGAATCTGGGAGTGGCTTGTTTAGCTGGATGCTTCTGGCTCAGGTCTCTTGAGGTTGCAGGGGAGCTGTCAGCAAAGGCTACAGTCATTTGGGGCGGGAGGATCCTCTTTCAGGCTTACTCGTTTGGTTGTTAGCAAGTATCACTTCCTCACTGGATGGCCAGAGACCTGGGTTCTGTGCCATGTGGGCCTCTCCATAGGTTCCTTGAGTATCCCCATGGCATATCAGTTAGCTTCTCCCAGAGAGAGTGATCAGAGAGAGAACTCAGGATGGAAGCTGTACTCTTTTATAACCTTATCTCAGAAGTGATATACCATTACTTTTGCTGTGTTCTGTTGGTCACACATACCAACCCTGGGATGTGGGAAGGGACTACACAAGAGTGTGATAACAGGAAATGTCAGGATCATTGGGGACCATTTCAGAGGCTGGCTGCCATACCTATTAACTCATTTTTGAATTTATTAGTAGGATTACCTTATAAACCCACTCTGAATATAGGGCAAAACTAAAATGTCCCTTTTGTGTTAACACTTACGTATACTAAAAGATAATTAGCCGATTTAAAATTTTGAGAGAAGATTAATACCTACATGGTTACTTAGGTTATACAACAGCTGTGGACCAACTTTAAGATACATAATTGTCTGTTTCTAAAAATATAAAAAATTCACGTTTGTTTTTTTTTTCTTCATGGTTTTTGGTTTCTCTGTTTCATAGTTAGACTAGCTGGGAAGTATAATTAGGGAGAGAGTCCTGTGTGTGTTTATTTGAATTAGAAAACATAAACAATTACAGAAAAATGCAGAGAATACAAGAAACATCCAGCTCCCCACTACCCAGAACCAACAAATATTAACCTCCTTGTCATATTTGCGTTGTATCTTTTCCTTTCCTTTAAAAAGAAATCAAACACAGGTGCAGTTGAAGACACCTTTTTACCTTTCCTTTGTTCCATTTCCTTCCTTCCTTCGCAGGCAACCATTATAATGGAATTTACATGTACTTTATTTGTACTTTCTGTACACATATTTGTGTTTACAATACAAATGCAAGTATTCCATTTATAGTATTAAAAGTATTTTTGTTTTATAATTTTTAATTAAAAGTTTAGAAATCAACAGAGAACACACAGGAAATTTAAGAAGTCAGTTTCTATAGATTTAACTATTTACAATATAGACAAGGTCTAAACTTAAAAGTTTGGTATAAAACATTTTCCATTGGGAATGAAAGTGCCATATATATTTTTTTATGGTATCCAAAGCCAGTTTTCCCGAGTTGCTTCTTATTTGTATACGATGATCCATGATGTACTTGAAATAGTGTGTGTGTGGCTAACCCTCTGAAGTAGGTGTTTAATCACATGTTCTAGATGAGGAAATTGAAGAGTAGAAAAGTTAAAAAGTTATTTAGGATAATCCTGTTAATAAGGATTTAAAATAAAGCCTGACTCCAAAAGCTGACGCCTTAATCAATATAATGGGATGCTTATAATACTACTACAGAAGCTAATCACCTTGTCTGATTATATGAAAAAATGTGCACACATCTCCTCCTGTTCACTGTGGATACTGTCTTCTTGGTATAATCTCCTAAGAACCTATTCCCTGGCCAGAAGCTCAGAACCACTGGTTGTAAATCCCATTGGCTGAGGCTAGGCATATAGCAGGGTGGAGGCAGGAGGTATATCAGGGGTGGGAGAAGGGATTTGGGCACTGATTTTGTTTTTTTAATAGCCTTTATTTTTTTAGGGCAGTTTTAGGTTCACAGCCAAATTAAGCAGAAAGTAAAGAGCGTTTCCATATACCTCCTGGTCCAGCAAGCATACAGTCTCCGTCACTATCACCATCCCCACCAGAGTGGGCATTGATTTTTATGATAGTGGAATCGGGGCTGAGAATGCAGCAGCACACTAGGGGAAATAGAGAAATCCCGAACGTAGCATTTAATTCCCCTTTTTTATCTCCTCTTTCTTCCCCTTTACTATTTTTTGTGTTGATACGACAGACTTCACACTGCCCTGGACTAGCCTTAGGGTGAGGTGAGAACGAGAAATCTGGTACTGATGGTGGTTGGCTCCTGACAACTCCAAACAAGAGGAAGGAAAGGACCCACTGTAGGGATGTTGTGAGCAGTAGCATTGGGGAGATGGTTAGACTGTCTGGCTACCCTTTTGGTTATAAAGGAATGTTACAAGTCAGTTGCATTTGTGGAACACTGTTCCATTTGGAATTTCTGGTTTCTGATTTGAGCATCCTTTTTGTTGGTAAACCATTAACCCAATTTTTTATTATTGTTGTTACAGTTGGGTTGTTTTGCGTTGTGTAGAATTAATTTCAAGGTTTTTTTTTCTTTTCTTAAAAGTTCATATGAGAGATCCTAATAATCAACTTCACATAATTAAAAATTTGAAGATAGCAGTAAGCAACATTATCACCCAGCCACCTCAGCCTGGAGCCATTCGGAAGCTTTTGAACGATGTTGTTTCTGGCAGTCAGCCGGCTGAAGGATTAGTAGCTAATGTGATCACGGCAGGAGATTATGATCTCAACATCAGTGGTATGTAATAAGGTTTATTATTTATTATTTCTTAAATGAATGTTTCTTTTTTAGAAAAAGTAATTCTGTGACTGGAAAATCATTTGACATTTAAGTGCTTACTGAGTGATAGAGCCTAGGAATACAGTACAGTAAGGATGGAAATAAACAGTCCTTACTTTTAAGGAAGTTACAGTCTAGAGCAGCGGTTCTCAACCTGTGGGTCGCGACCTCTTTGGGGGTCGAACGACCCTTTCACAGGGGTCACCGGGTACTCGTATGTGGGCGTATCTGCATGTGGGCCTGGAGACGGATAGAGGAGCGGTGTCTCGGTTCCTAAGACCATCGAGAATATGTGTTTTCCGATAGTCTTAGGCGACCTCTGTAAAAGGTTGAGAACCGCTGGTCTAGTGAGTAGGCAGCCATTCAAACTATGAATTACATGATTTGGTTTTATTTTTTCATAATGAATATGTTTCTGTAGTTTTAATTGTAAAGCTCCACGAGGGCAGGAGCTTTGGCTCTTTACTTTATTTCCAGTACCTAAAGTATGCTTAGAACGTGTGTATACTAAATACTTCTTGAATGAAAGAATGAACAGATAAAAACAACGTATTTTTTTGTGTGACATAAGTAATACTATAATTAAATAAAAAGAAATAAGATTTTTTTATCTTAGTATTAAGTGGAGGGAATGTTTATAATATATGAATAAATCTTTTCTGAGTGCTTAATCTGAATGGTAAATATTTTCATGATAAGATTGATAGGTAAAATGATATATTGATATGTAAAGTGAGTTAGCAATATTTGGCATGACCCTTTCAGTATGAAAAAGACTTAATAGAGGGACATAAGATCGATTTTTAGAAGGAAAAGATGTAAAGTACATCATCTGCTCAGGATATTTCAGCAGTGTAATAAAATCTTTTTAGGTCAGTACAATTTATAATCTAATATTTTAACATATCCTAAATGCATAAACGATTTTCCTAAACATACGAAGAGAATTTAAGTGTTATGATTTAGGTTATGAAGTTAGTTGGTTGCACTTGTGTAGTTAGAAATATTTGTAGAATTATTTTGTTTAAATGTTAATAATTTTTCTTTTTTCTATGTCATTTTAATTCAAACAGGATAAATTAACTTGATCATTTTAAGTTTAGAATATTACGGTTATCTTTATAAATCTAAAGACTCTGAATTTCAGGATACATATTTTGAGCAGTTCTTGACATAACATGTTTTCAAGACAAGGCAAAATTTGGATTTTCTGGAAGAAAGTGATGGAATTTGAACTGTTTATTTCCCTGTTATCAATGGGAAACTCATGTTGAAGTGTAAAGGGCAGTGAATCTAATGCCAGAGTGTCCCAAGTTTTTATACTACCATTGCCATTAGTTAATTGGATAGCTTGAATAAGCCACTGATTCAGACTTGGTTTCATTCTTTGGAAACCAGAAAATTTGGCTAGATTCTTTCTCAAGGCCTCTCCTAGACCTTTCATCTTGTGATTCTATTTTAGAGGTTCTTTAATATTTTTGTTATTCATGCAATGAATACTTATTGATTTTCTACTATATGCTTTGAATTGAGATATAGCGATGAATAAGACATGTTGTATGAGCTCATAATTTGGTGCGGAGACAAATATGTAAATCAGCAATCATAATACATTTTAATTTCCAATACATTTTAATCACAATACATTGTAATAGGGATATGTCATAGCTGATATGCCAAAGTGGGGAATTAACTATCATATTTAAAAAATAAATAAAAATACCTGTTTTATGCTGCAGATATCTTCTAATCTCTAAAGCTTATAATACTTTTTATTCTTGAAACATTTAATTTATCAAAATGATATATGCACATAGACATAGTGCTAAAAAGACTTACTGTAAGAAAAAACAACAAAAGTGATCTGCTGTCTGTGCCCCTACCCCACCAGTTTTTTTTAGTGGTTTTTATTTG